ATTTATTGAGTTGTGACCGAAAAATTAATCTGTGACCTATAAAATTTTTTATTTGTGATCGAAAAATAATATGTGACCTATAAAATTTGTGTTTGTGACTTATAATTTATTGAGTTGTGACCGAAAAATTAATTTGTGACCTATAAAATTTTTGATTCGTGATCGAAAAATAATTTGTGACCTATAAAATTTTTAATTTGTGACCGAAAAATAAGTTGTGACCAATAATATGATAAGTCGTGACTAAAAATTAATCCGTGACTAATTATTTTTGGATTTGTGACCAATAAACAAACTGCGACTCACAAAATTTTTGAATTGTGATCGTAAAAAAATTTGTGACATAAAATTTTTGATTTGTGACCAAAAAATAATAAGTAACTAATTATATTGTTAATTTGTGACCAAATTGTATAGATCCGTGACCTAAATATATTTATTTAATAAAATAATTAATTAAATAATTAAATTATAAATAATTTTTAATAAAAATCTGATTTTAGAAATTTGAAACTTGTTTTCTTATTTTTGAAATGTACCATAATTAATTTCTTAGTTATGAAATTTTCCCTATGAACTATTATATAAAGGTGTAGTGGGCTGAAATCTTGTAACATCCACAATTAATGGAATTGTTCCAATTGGGCCTTTTAAGTTCTTTTGTACACCATTCAATAAATTGACATCCGAGATATCAATTTGAGAGGGATGTCAATGAGATCAACAAAAATCATAAAGATTAACGGAGATTCTGACTTAACAAAATTATATATATAATTATATTTATCATATTTAGATTAATTACATCTTCCATACTTAAATTGATACCATAATTGCATAAAGTAATACTCTTTCTATATGATACAAGGAATCCCTCAAGGGAAGATCATTCAGCCAAAAGATGATAAAAAAAAAAAAAAAACCATCTCATTTTCTATCCTGACTAGACGTGCATTTTTTTAATTTTTTAAATTTTTTTTAGATTTTGGCAATTTGTCTTAGTTTTGTGATAGATGCAGTTGCTTATGTATCTTATAAAATTTTGGACAGGGGTATAAGAGTATCTCCAATAATTGTGTAATATTGGGTGTAAATTGATATCTTTAAAATCACTTTGCATCTTCATTTACAACCCGATGGATCTAAATTTAAATTCTACTCCAATGGAAAGATCTAAATTCACTTTTTGTTTATTATAAATGTAGAAAAGATGAAAATTTAAGTCTTTTTTTTATATATATATTTTCTGTCGAAAAATACAATTTGCATCTCTCCATTGAAGAGGTATCTGACCACTTTAGAGATTTAAATTTCTATTTTACACCACCATTGTAAATGCTCTAAGAATTTTTGTTGTGAAACTGTTAGCTGGGTGGAAAGTTGTCTTAACTACACTATGGAATGTCATCTTTGAAAATGACTAATGTTACTTTTTCTCACACTCGTGTTTTCTCAACTATTTTTTCATTGCCATTAATGCCAATTTACTCTGTGCTCAACCACAATATGTTGGAAGTGGTTTCCAGTTGGGGTGGTGGATACGTGTGGGTTACTTCGATGCTACTGCGGTGAATAGCAGCAAGGAAGCACGAATGTTAGTGGTTTTTGTGTGGTGTTTAGTTTTTGAAAAGATTACATATGCTAAATTGTTGTAAAATAATTACATAAACTGAAATTTGCCAAAAATAATTAATTAATTAATTAATTAAATACGCGTCCGAATTATAAGATTGTAATTATTTATCTTCTTTCAATGCCAGTGCATATTGCAATTTTGTAATTTTTCAATTCGTCCTCTATTTTTTCCTCTATTAGTAGTGTCGGTCGCCCATATCATCAAGCAAGGCCCCGGGCCTCTCAAATCTAGTAGCCGGTTTGGAAAAGACCCAAACCCTTATGGGTGGAGTTGGGTTTGATGCTATAAAGTGAATTCATGAAGTCGGCGGTATGTTAACGAATTGGTCCACTACAAAAACAAGACTTCATAAGTTCAGGGACTAACTCACTTCTTGGTCTTCGACCCCCTCAGTCACTACGAACGCCCCCAATCAGTGCAAATCTCCAGCAATTTTCAAGTGTTTAAAACAATATCTCCCGTACAGAAGTATAATCCATAGTCATTAAAATCGGACATGACCAACCAGTCCATCTCCAAAAAGAACAAACTGGCCAGTGTGCCAATTGCAGCACTCAACTGTTTTACATTAGGCACCTATTTGGCTTTTAAAAAAAGAGAAAAAAAAAAAGATAAAAGGATAAAGATAAAAAGCTAACAATTAATTATAATGATACGTTTCATTGTTCTCATGAGACCCACAGCATCAATCAATTTTTATCAAAATTTTCTAAATATCTGATTTTTATCTAAATCAATCGACTTAGAACAAACCCACAGAAAACCAGTAAAAGGGAGCAGGTTCACATATAAACCAGAACTGATTCAATATGGCAATATAGCACATGAAATAACTGTTTTCAGCTGCAAATTTTACAGCCATGGAAACGCAATATATTGCTGAATAAAGCAGGACTAGAAGAGAATGATTTTGCCGAACCAGTTACAATTAAGTAAAAATGTCTAAAACTAAGTAATTCATCTACTCTTCGATCATTAATAGAAAGAAACACCACCAACAATATCTAAATGGAACCTAGAATTCAAATTTTTCTACTACAGCAAGTGCAATTAAGTTTAAAATGGAAATGGTTACTATATTGTAACATCATTTCCACTGTGGCCTCGGCAAAAGAAATCAGGAACCATCTTCATAAGCAGAAATCCACATCTTCTAGTAATGGCTTTGTTGGCTTAAAAAATGAATCACTTCAGAAGTGACCTGCGGAAAAAATACCTTTACAAATAACCAACAGGATGATTAGCAATAATTTACCAAATAAATGATAGATCTCAAGTCAATAGAAGTATTCTGTTTCCACACGCCCGAATAGTGCGCCATCAGATGATCAGCAATAATTAAATCGAAGGAATTATAAATATCAAGGCAATAGCGCTGCTGGTTCCCATGTAGCACTATTCTGTTCCCACGAACCCAGATAATTTAATGCCAAAGCTCACTACAGAAACCATTTCGCGGTGTCTTGCTGGATACAATATCTGAAAAGGAGTCAACCAACTGTCCTGCCAAACTACTTGGATCATCAATTAGAGTTTGTATAAAAGTGTTGACTACTCTACGTTCCTGCTCTGTGGACCTAAAGCTGAACCAAGTGAGAAACTTCAATCTAAACTCCTGTTTAATATGACCCTCACACTCGAGCCAACGAATGATCTTTACACAGTATTCGAAGTTCTCATCCAAGGATCCTGGCCCATTGTACACTTGCAATTGTGATCCATTTGTTAGAGTGCTATCAGAATCCTGCATCTCTCCATTGCTCATACGCGTTCTCTTCAGGCCAGCTTCTACCTGGGACTCAACAGCTGGTACTTCCCCATTTTTCCCGTGATTCCAGTTGTGCGAGTCACCGCTGCCATGTGACCTTGCTAAACCATTCCTCCGAAGATCATGAGAGAAAGCATCGTCATCTGCTTCAACACCCTGCCCTAAACCACATTCATCATCTCTCGACGAATCGACTGGAGGGGTAAACTCTTCATTCAGATCAGGAACTGAAGCAACATTTAGGTCAAGCCCACGTCGAAAGGATGGCAACCTATCTTCTTGTAGAGTTTCAGGCTTAACATCACAGACTCGACAACTTTTGTTAATATCTAAACCACAGAATCCACTGAAACCTCCCTGTTCTTGTATGCAAGCTAACCTTAAGATCTTACCGAGGTCTCGTACTTTAAAACCAGAGTCCAATTCGATGTCTGTTTCAGTCCTGTGCTTTGTTTTGGCACCAGGGCTTCCTCCACCGTCTGAATTCTCCTTCTGATAATTAATTGAAACAGAGTCAAAATTCTTGTGAATTATCTCTACACTCTTTGTAAAACACCTAGCCTCAGAGTGTCCAAAGTCACCAGCCTCCGTGTAGGATATAATTCGGAAGGTATATTCTGTGCAAGGCTGCAGATTAGATATCCAAATCCGCCTCTGAGATCTTGGAAAGACACAGACAGGTTCTTTTCCATGAGTTTCTTCTCTCGTCTTACAATACCAGAGTTTGTAGCCCTTAATATCATCAGAGGATGCAGTAGATAAGTCTATCAATATAACTACAACTGAAGATGATGTTACTTCCTCAAAGAGGAATTTGCAAGCTGCGGGAAGAGAATCCTCTGCCAAGGGAGCAAACAGAAAATTTTTACTCCTATGACATGGTAACTTCATTTGAAATACAGAAAAGTAAAATCAAAAGTAGTACCAATGCAGTTCATGGTAGCACTAGATTTTGAGGCCAGCAATTCGTCAGCTTTCTCAATGGCAAGGGAGCAGATTGCCTGCACATCACTAGCTACAGATAGCCTGCTGACAATGCCCCGGCCCATTTTGGATGAAACACCATTCAATGGGCCCACCTCTGTTTCTAACTTGGCTTTCGCTTCTTTAGTAAATTCATGGAGTTCTTCAAATCTGGAAGTTCCATCCAGCAGCCTATAACTCAAGAATATTCTATAACACAGGATATCTACACGTCGAGCTTCCTTAGCCACAGTTAACTGCTTCTTCCAGTATCTGCCAAAATATACACGTGAGCTACAAAATCAGATTAAATGAGGTCCAAATTATTGGTAATTGAAACCAAGTCAGATACCATGGAACTCTATGCAGTCATCTGGCAATCTAAAAAAAAATAACACTAGTATCCATGTCAAGTAAGATTTTGGACAAGCCCCGAAAAATTTTATTGTAGAAAAATGTTAAAGAAGCAATTAACAAAAGTTACAGGACAAATGGAAAGACCACCATTATAAATGGCGAGAGAAAAGACAAAACAAAATCAGTTAGGAAACCACATAATATATCTGAGAACAATATCCAAGACAAATGTTAAACTTGTCAATCCCTTTTGAGACCCTTGAAGGGAGGTAGTGCATATTACCTAGCCCTTAACAAACACAATGAACAGAAAACATGCATTTCTGAACTTTTCCCATGTTGCTACTACTCATAATATTGACAATCATGATGATGATTAGAGGCAAACCCTTTATTGAGGCCAAGGAAGGCAATGACACTCTTTACAAACTAAAATGTTTGTTTATGTATTATAAGTACAGGTCAATATAATATGTACCGTGTTAAACTCCCTATTGATGCAATTATCTATTCTTCAATGATGATGACGACAAAGACTTGTGAACCCACAACTTATGTGTATTTAATAAGAGTCTATAGCACAAAGGGAAATAAGGAAAAATAAAAACACAGAGAGAGAGAGAGAGAGAGAGAGAGAGAGAGAACAGAAGACATGTTGTGGCATAAAAAGGTAATATCCATGCCCTCATAGGTAGCAAAGTGTTGTCATCACAAAACTCTAAACATTTAGCAAAAGAAGTCCTTCTCTACTAAATGATGTAATCCAAATTTATATATTATTCAAAAATTAACAAAAATAAAAGGACTACAGTTGACAAGTGGCATTTCCTTTACAGTCTTATTCATTTTTAATTTATGTATCCTCTAAACATTGTTTTGCGTGCAATAGAACAGGCCACATAATGTGAAAGAGGGTGGTGTGTAATATAATGATCATGTTGACAAAGAATTTACCCAAGTATCCCTGAAACTTTGCCACATGAAGCACAACAATAGCTTCCATCCAACTGCATCAACTGCCCAAGGTTAACAACTCCCACCTTCCCATGTTGGAGGGCACATTCAATGTGGCAAGATAAGCCACAAGAGTCTTCCAGGCCAGATTCAGATATGCATTCCAACCAAAGACTTGGGTCCTTGTTGTCATCAAATAAATGACAGATGCAGCAAGAGCACCTCTTGCAAAATGTGTCATCAATTGAAAGAGTTGCTCGACAGGCAGAATTTTTACAGATCCATGAATCCATACAATTAAAATCGGAAGTTAGCTCTGTAGCTGGTGGAATTCGAAGAGGGTTTTCTCCTTTCCGAGGTTGTTTCTTAGCAGGCTGATCCTTGGGATTTGAAGCTGCTCTCTTGAGGTCGGGATTCTTTAAAGACTTCCTATTAGCCTTTGGATGTATTTCGGCCATTGTACACTTAATGAAGCTGAATGATTCTTATTCTTGTTATTTACTTCGGAATGATCTACTTGGATCAGATATCAGGACCAGTTACAGGAATCTTGAAGCATTATCCTGGACTCCACTGTCATCTGTATTTCTTTGCACCCAAGATGAATCATGTTGGCCAACAGAAACTGGACAAGAAAAATAAGTTGAAACTTAAATACGAAGGCATCAATAGCATGGCAGTGATAGAGTAGTAAACCTGGCACATGATGCTGGATAATTAATAAAAAAAACATAAAATAGCATGTTAACCACCAGAAACTGGATAAAAAAATTAAGTTAAAACTAAAATACGAAGGCATCGATAGCATGGCAGTGATAGAGTAGTAAACCTGGGCACATAATGCTGGATAATTAATAAAAAAACATAAAATAGCTCAATGCAAAACCTACTTACTTGCGTAGAAAACAACCAAGCAAGAAGAGAAGAGAAAGTGTGCAGGAACCGTGCATGCCATATGTCAGAGAGGCAATATGAGCCCGTTTGGTAGCCATTTTCTTCAAAATGCATTTTTCTCTCTCTTCTTTTCAACCACACATTCTTTATTAAAATAATATTATACGTAAATAAAAAACTTTTCCTTATTTTTCAACCACACATTTCACATCAATTTACTATTCTAAAATGTATTTTCACATCAAACACCCCCTATATATGGTTTCCTTGAAATTATTTTCACTCAAAAATAGATTTTTTCCCCCCTACCCTTATTTATATGTTAATTTCAGTTGTAAGCTTACAAGTCACAGACACTAGTTAAACAGATTGATTATGTACTAACGAGTAACAAAAGATAACAATACATTTTATGGAATTAAAGAAGACATTTCATGGAATTATAACTGTACTGATAATGTAAGAGATATAATATTCTATACTGACTAGATGAGGTTTTGAGAACTAGATTCAATGTAAGTTTTCGATGCAAAAATAATTAGTTCCCGTTTGGTAGAGATTAAAATTAGATTTTTAGTTGATTTGGATAAAAAATTTTGAAATGTGTGGTTGAAAAGACGTAGAAATCATGAAATATGTGGCTAGAATTGATTGTTTGACTTCGACTTAGAATAAAATCTGATTTAAATTAAAACCAAATAGACATAATATAATTGTCTCTATATATTAAGAATAATACATAATTTGTTGTGATCATTGAGGTTTTACGGAAAGAAATATTACATATTAGTTTCGGATATGGTAATTTCTTGTCCACGAATTTTCCTCTTAAATCAACTATAAGTATCTGATGACAAGGTGCCCATGGGCTTTTCAGAAATAATTAAAAGCATAATGCTAGCTCCTATCTTCCCTTCATACTGTAATCACATTTTACCAAACTCATCTCTTTGTGTATCAACACCTGTAGAAGAACAACTCCAGAGAAGGAATGGTAAATTGATATTTCAGTTGTCAGTTTTTCCTCTAAATCTGTATATGAACACTTTTGTTTAATCTAAATTGAATAAACACTCTTTTCAATTATAAAGTTTGTTTACTTTTCAGTTACATTGGTATTCATAGATTGTGCATTTTGATTTGCAAGTTTTTCAGTAGACTGCTTTCTTATGTTGTACCCAATTTATTATCCTCTTTCATTTGCGAAATTAACAAAAGAAAAAATTCTTTAATGGAACTTGTTGCTACTTTCATTCTTTAAAATTCCCAATCGAGGCCCACTTTAAGGCCAACCTCAAAGCAAGGCATATTAGAAACATCCAAGGCAGCGCACTAGTTATGAGACAGTTTTTGAAAGTGCACATCGCAGCTGAGAGTGGTGCACGGTTGTGAGGCATGCACTCCTTAATTCTCCATACTTGTTTACTTTGCTCCTTAGGAATAGCCAACTGCCCAATTAGTTATATTTAAACATTAAAAAATGTGTTTTCTGATTAATCCACCTTGGGAATCTATTAACACGGTTTAATAGGACAGTTGTAGAAAAGCAATAGAGTTATTATCGAGGGTTTTCAAGCAGAAAGGAAGTATTTTTGGCAAACAATATTACTTGTATTGACGGGCCAGCTAATTGTCTACAATTTGGATTTGAGATACAATTATGAATATAGAGTACGCTATGAAGTTCAAGTCATTTAAGGATCTCAATACTTAAGAATAAGTTATACGAAATGAGTCAAGAGTATATCAAGATATTATCATTCCTCTTACTATGAGAAAGATATTAATACTATACATCCCAAGACGTGTATAGTATTTTGTGCTCACTTATGGTTTGGGTCAATCATCACATGCGAGTGAGAGGTTAGAAATACAAAATGTAGGTGGGAGGGAGATGTATAAGTTTGAATTCGACTCTCAACCTCCGATAAAATCCTTGAACTCCTCTTACACGTAGAGGGTGTCAAAATGGCTGTAAATTTATAGAAGTTCTTGCAAGAAAATAGATTACGATTGGAAAAGGCTTGAAACCATTTTTTCAGTTTGAAGTCTCACAAAAATTAGCACTTAGATTGTAAATTGATCTCTTAGCCATTAGAGTACAACAAATTACAGGTTTAAAGCATGGAAAAGCATGCCACACGACAATTTTGTAAATTATGCTACAATAGTAAAGTTTTGTTGACATTGACGAAAATTAATTATTAGCATGTAACATATTCTAACATAAAAAAATACCCATATATAGTTCCCTTGAATATATTTAGCTAACCTTTACCTAATTAATTTGGCATTCGATTTGGGCATCAAGAACCATATAAGTTATTGATCCACTTGCCCAGTTAAATGGAGAGTACATTTTTATTATGATAAAATTTGGGTCTTGCTTGTAGTAACAAAACGTAATTTCTCCGCTACAAGATTTTAAATTAAATGAAGGATCATATTTAAGAAATTTCTAGAAGATACGATGCAACAAGCAGGTTTTGTAATTTGAAATCTCAGCAACAATATTTTAATCAACAACATGCGTCAGAATGAAAAATAATATAACATAATGCACAACAAGAAAAATCCAAAAGACTAAAAAGACAAAAGGATACAAATTGTTGAATGGGATAATATAGCAGAAAAAATCCAATGCTAAGAACAGAAGAGAACAAGTACCTGAAAAACATAATATCAACCGCTTGCAGCAGAGGCAACCCTGATCTCAGGACTCAATAATCTAGGGAGATAAGGACTTCAAGGTTTAGGAAATTTAGATTCTCAATGTTGATACCTCGGACAGCCATCTTCGTCACTTGTTGCAGCTGTTATTCGATACCACACGCTGATGACGATGCAGAGATTAAGGGGAGAAACTAACAGATAATAAGGGTAATGAAGCGGCAGGTGTTTGAGAAGTGAATAAAAAGCTATTTAGAGATTTGACCTGTAAAGGTATATCCAAAAAAACTGTATAAAAAAATATGGCAAAAATAATTGATATAAATAAAACATAGATTGATAACAAAGTTAAAGCCAACTAAGCAGTAAATTTAGGCTACAAGCTGCATGCTAGCTCAGTTTGCCTACATTTAGCTAAAACACATCAACATGGATAAGGTCATAAAGGAATGGGTCAAACTCGACAACATGCATCAAGAGCATCTTCGGCAATCAATCCTAAATCTTTTCACCATTTAACAAAATCTAACCAATATCTATTTCATTTTTCCCCTTTTTCAGTTTTTGTCCCTAGCTTCAATAAATCAAGACCAGTGGCAATGCTAAGCAGTTCCTAGAACGGACAATTATACCTTCTCATTGTATATTCTTTCCAAATATTTTAAATAACCCTAAAAAAAATTTTTGAATCGAAAAGAACAAAAAAAAAAAAAAATTCATTAAAATCGAAGGGACCAAATGTATTATCCTTCATTATGAATATCCTATGTGGGAATCTAGTTGACTACGATATATTCGCTATTTCATGACCAAAACATCCATTCTCCATACGCAAAAGCAGTTCCAATAGTATTGTTACAAGTCTTGGTCAACATGTACCAAGACCCCCTATGAACTATAAGGCAGAATTGAATTGGTTTGGACTACGTAAAAATCAATGTAACTCCCGAGAAACTGTTAGCTGAGGAGTCAAGAGAGGAGATATGGTTCCCTGAAAATTTTCCACCCCCAAGATTGACTTTTTCAATCCCTCTTTATTTGTTAATTTCACAAACAAAAAGGTACCAAATCGGGTTAAAAATAACAAAGAAGTCTTAAGGGGAAAAAAAAATCAAGAATAAACACAGATCAAAACGAACAACTATTAATGCTAAATATGACCGAAGAAAAAATCAAACCCTAAAATAAAACAGAGTATAGATACAAGTTTAGAGTCAATCGAACCATATAAATACGGATTCATAGAGAAAAAAACATAACAATTGGAATCAATTTACCATTCCCTTTCTGGAGTTGTTCCTCCCCTGGTATTGATAAAGAGGGGGAGAGAGAGCGTGGGGGCATGAAATTGATAATGGGAGACCACAGTACGACTATGTGGGGGGAAGCTAGGAGCTATAATTTCTCTAAAATTAAATTGGGCGACTGTACATTTTGGAAAAGCCCATGGGCTCCCATTCGTCAGATTATCCACAATATAAGAGGAAAGGCTGTAGAAAATAAATTACAATATCCAAAACAGAAAAATTGGGGATTGCATATGAAATATATTATATTTTCATTAATACAATTAAAATTTTAAAATAAAGAAACTACTGTATTTTCTAATTAAAAAAACACCAAAACTACTGACATCCAAACTTTCCTCATATAACATTAAGGTCCTATTTGATTGTAAATCCAAAGAAAATAATTTCCACTTTGACTGTTTGATTCGTATGTGGAAATGGAATTCGAATTCTTATGTATAATCATTGAAAGCACGTTTTTTACCAATTCCATGGAAAATGAATTCTTATAGGTATGATGGTTTTTTGTTTTCCAACTTAGGTGGAATTCCTTTTCCTTTTCTTTCTTCGCAATCAAACGGGGCCTAAGTAACTTACATTTTCTTGAATGGGCTGAAGAATTGGAGATCATTTTATTGCCTCCTACCATTACGGGAATTCAAATTGAAATAGAAACCAATTTCATACAACTTTGAATCAGTGATATTTTATTAAGCTTGACTACCACCTGGCGTGTACCAATAATAAATGCTATTATTCATTGTATATAAAGATTTTATATCTCGACCATGATATTACAAATTTTCGAGTGTATATTTCATTTGCTATTTATTCTGATCATTGTTTTTTCACGTCGTTTAATCAACAAAATTAATGATCTTAGTGTTTTTCCAAATTGCGTAATTTACAAATTAGTTTATACTACAACATTTGTCATAACCAGTCGAAATATGTTTGATTTTTACTAATAAAAACATATTTTCCCTAGACAGTGTGTTATTTTGTTTGAAATTATTCCAATTCCCTTTTTCTTCTCAATTGAAATTACATAATTCTTGGAACATATGAACAAATGATTATTTATATTTCACGTTTTGTAGTTAACAAATTTGTCATGATTTTGATAATAACATTCTCCAGTCTTATGCTAACTGTTGGTCAATCATTGTTTTTTCTTTGACTTTTATTCATCTTTTAATATTTCATTTCATCTCGCACCAATCTTACAAACTAGTTTCCCTAAACTGAATCTTGTCTATTATTCTTCTACTCATATTTCATTTCATCAAGCAACAATTTTACAAACAGATTTCCCTAATCTGAATCTTGTTTATAATTCAATTTATTATGTGCATGTAATATCATGCGCCAACAAACTTTTAAGATTTCTGAAAATGATAAATAATAATAATAAAAAAATAAATCCCAATAGTCTTCTTGTCTAGACGAACATATATTATTTATAACAAATCCAAATTTCATGAAGCTACAATAGTTGTTTCACTCTGCCTTTAATGATTTCGCAACGTCAATAACAAACCAGTATTTAAACATCAGATTTCACAGGGTGTTCCATCGTAATATTGATATAATTAATGGGAATGATATTCACATTGTTATATGTTGTGATTCCTTAGGGCATCTAGTTCATTTCTTCCTACTTGCATTAGAGGAGTCGTACAAATGGCAGGAAGTAAGAAGTTAGGAAGATTGAGAAGCTAGCAAGTGAGAGCTTTTCCTAGTTGCAATTGCTTAATTGGCTCCTTTTTCTAATGTGAGTTCAATGGCCTGTGGTTGTGGCAAAACAAGATTTTAAAAGCTTCACTTCTAGATAAAAGTTAATTGCATCGGGATACAATGCTATCACAATGCACACACACCCTAAGCTCGAGCCAGTTACTATACCTGCGGATTCTTTATCGATCTGTGACATAAAATATTTCAACTGCACACTTTTCGATATCCCTTCTAAGAATTTCACAAGTGAAAAAAAATAAAAATAAAAATAAAAAATAAAAACCCAGCTGTGTCTCTTGCACCCTATCCAAAAGCCTTGAGTGGGTGCTCTGTTTCTTGTGATTCGGCTATTTGGTCCTTTTAGATTAGTGTAGGAATAATAAAAGCTCACAATATAACAACCAACTATTGCATATTCAATGTCTTACATGCTTGTCTTGATTTGAGGTTGAAGTTGAGTGATTTGTGTGATGTTTTGAGGTTATTTTGTAGTATGCAATTTGGAGATTTTGGTTTTGTTCGTAAATGATCACTAAAAAATTGAATGGAGAATATCACTTCATGAAAAATCAACTACAAATCTCGTGAAATGGGTGTTGAATGTGAGCGATCTTTGTGATAATTTGGGATTTTGTTGAATCTAAGATTTTGGGTTTTGATTTTTGATGAAAATGGTTCACAAGAAATTGGGATTTTTGAGGTAATGGGTGGCAATTACAGGATTTCGTTACTTATTTTGTAGTAAATAAGGCATGTTTGTTTGGGTAGGTATGTGCTGTCCAATAAGATATTAAATGTGTTACAAATTTTTTATTTTATTTTATTTATTTATTTATTTTTATTTTTTAGTTTTTGCTTTCACTTTTTACTTTGAAAAATGCAATATAAATGGTTAAAAAAATTTATGAAAGTAGAATATGGTATGTTATGAAAATATAGTTATTACATGTAATTTTCTCTATCAAAACATACACACGTGTATACCATAACACATTTACAAAGCAAATTAAATTTTATTTTGATAAATCTGAAGGAGAATATTCAATTCTTTTTGCATTTAAAATTTAGCTTTAATTCCATAAAAGGTCTTTTTTTAATAGTAGGGCTAAATGCACCAATGACACTATGCTTTCCTTAACGTTCATATTAGCTACTAAACTTTGAAATATGTTTGACTAGCAATTCAACTTACCAAATCTTTATATGATCCTTCAATCGTTAAAAACTAAATGGAGCAGATGACTTGCATAACGGATATTCACATGTGAACCTGTAACTGTAAGTTTTTGTTGTTGCAAAATTTTGGTGGTCGTCATATATGTTGTGGAAATTATAGTGGTCAATGAAATGCGTTGTGAAAACTATAATGTTCAATGAGATATTTAATCTAATATTTTTTAGTCTCTTGTATTTTATTTGATGTGTGCAAATTACTTTAACTAGAGGAAATATTAATAACGTATTGAAAAAAAAATGAAACTTAAAAATCTGGACAAATTTGTTGAATAGTTCAATTATTAAAGTGCATTGTGATCAATCAAGGTAAGAGATGTGTATGCTGATTTATATTTACTAGTTAGAGTTAAACATGTATTTCACGTTATTTTGAAATACTTTATAAGTGCTGTAAAAGTAATATTTTATATCAATTTGTCGAGAGGATCCGATGAGCCTCAAATGAACTAAAGAAAATAAAATTTATAATAGAAATTTAAGGGAATAAAATTGAACTCTCAAAACTCAACTTCTATTATTTAAATTTTGTGTAATGATGAAATACTACAAATGAACAACTTTCATATATTACATTAGGTACATAAGAATTAATTGTTAGTACATGAATTTAAACACCTATTAAAATCCTTAGATACATGAATATAAATAAATTCATTTATAATAACTTTAGATTCATGTAGTTCAAGATTCTTCAAGTCAAATTGCGTCTAGATTAATGTAAATGATAATCAGTTGAGAAATAATAGTAAGAAATTCATTCATTAAAATGATTTTTTAGTATTTATTACATACTGAAAAATATAAAAGTAGGGTATTATTGAAATAATTGAATTGTAGTATGGTTAGAATTGTCCAAAAAAGATTTTCAATTGATGTGATATTTAATATATTAGAGAGTATATATTTGATTTGATTACATCATTTGAATATGGTCCAAAAAATGTATAAAATAATTTTTTAATGATATATGTGTAGTTTTATCTAATTGTTTAAGTTTTAGATTAAGTGATTTAACATAATATTGGAACAAACAAAAAATTTTGCTCAAGTATCATTGTCACCCATTTAGATGAACACTTGTTAAGCTTTGACGAAAAATAAATAAATATAGTCTACAAGTAATGGAGCGGGTATAGTACAATATTTAAATAATATACATGTAGTCATATCTAATTGATTAAATTTTTAATTCAAATGATTCGACAGAAGATTTTTGTATCTAGGATTGGGCATGATTCGGGGTTGGGTTTGTTTTGAGCTCAACCCGAAATCAAAACTAACTTAGTCCATTTAGGTAAATTTCAATATAAATTGATTCAATCTAATTGTTGAAACCAAACCAAATCGATTTGATTGATGTTTTGGTTAGTTGATTTGAACATTTGTAGGAATTAAAATGATATATACGCGCGCGCACACATTGTTACCAACAAACAATTACATCAAAATGAAAAGCAAGATTACAATCTAAGTTTAGAGTTTATAATAGACAATTCTTCTCCTCGCTTTTCTTTCCTTTTTAAAATTTGAAGTTTTTTGTAGAAAAGTGTAGATGGTAAACAAATTATTTGATAAAGAATTATTTTTATGTTTTTTTTTAAGTTTTATTTTTAAAGCTTAAAAATATAAATTTAAAATTTAAAAAAAAAATAGCAAGTTGGGGCGTTTATGGGTTGGTTTTTTAAACCGCAACCAATCCAACTTGAATTTAAATGGTTAAAATTAATCATACAAAATCGATTTTTTTGTTTAAACCAACCTGACTCAATTTAATTTGATTGGTTTAATCGATTTTTCAATTTTTTTGCCCACCTCTATTTATATCCTATCTTGCCACATTAAATGTGCCCACTAATGTAAGAAAGTAAGACATGAAAACCTTAGTTAGTTCATGCAGTCGCATGAAGTCATTGTTGTGCTTCACATAACAAAATTTAGAGAATGTTGCCTCTATATGAGTTTGTAGAATTTTGTGAAAGTTGTAGGTTCATCGAGATTGATAGCATTGCAGTAATAGCAACAATCGCAAGGGAGCGTAGTAGAGTAGCAACTATTAGTTATATTGATCTAATCTCTTTCCAACTTGTTGATTAAGAATATTTCTTCGCTTTTAAGAAAATCGAATACAGTGCAAACTTGAGTATTAAATTAGACTGGTTTTATATCATTGCATATCACACTTCCTACAAAGCTTTTTTCTTTTCTTTTTTAATTTTTTTACCCCCTTAAAAACCACTCTAGCTTACATGCATGTTTTACCAATAACAAAACAAAACAAATTACAACAAAAAGAGAACTTACGCTGTCTTGAAATTATAAGTACTGTGAAGGGTTAAAGATGTACACTTCATGTGCCCTAATCATACTCTTTTTCATCATACACCAAGTGCAATATTGTTTCGGTTCCTAATATTTTTCGAACTAGCTACTTGAAGGAAACTTTGTAAATTTATTGTCGTACACAAAATTTGAAAAGTCCAAAGTTTCATCATTGTCTCCATGAACATATACAAAAATGTCCCTAGTATATTCACTTCTTCTCAGGTAGAGCGATAGTGCTTTCGCTCTGACATTAACGTTACGTTGTTTCGTATCCAAACCCATATTGATCAAATCTATTTCTTTAAATTGTTGGATCAGATTTTTGTAGATGGGAACCAATTCTAGGAGCAACATATATACTCCATTAAAGTCATTTTTCACATGCCGCTGATGCAAACTATGAACATTATTTCCCTATGTTCCGCTGGTTTAACTGACATACCTGTTTTCTGATTTATTTGTTTGTTAACTCTATGACTTTTCAGTCGATTCACCAATAACACTTTTAACTAAGTAATCCATAGCATTTTTAAGTTGCGAGTTAAACTTTATTTTGTGACTATTGAAATGATTCAATAACCATGTTTCACTTAGTCTTCATTCAACTCAGAGAACAACAACCTGTGTCATAGGATATTCTTGAATTATAGGATCTTGGATGGAACTTCCAATTTAAAAGAAATCTATTGAAGAAGGGTCGAGAGCCAAGTTAGAAGTAGAGATAAATCCATTGAGTGGTGTTTCATCCAAAATAGGTCGGGGCATTTTCAGCATACTAGCTATTTGTAGCAAGTAATGCGCAGACAATTTGTTCCCACTGCCATTGAGAAAACTGACGAATTGCTAGCCTCAAATTTCTACTGCTACCCTGAAATTCATTTGTGTTACTGGTTTAACTTTCAGTATTTTTGTATTCATCTTTAAAGGAGTAATATCATCTTCAGTTGTAGTTATATTGGTAGAATATCTATTGAGACATCTAATAATGTGTGTGTATGTCAAATATCATATTTATTATTTAATCATGAGTGGTGAATCTCGAGAAAGAGTGGTTAAAAGGTATATAAAAGTTGTGGACTTACGAAATATGTGAATATAAATGGAATTTGACCAAATTTTATGCGATTATAATTTTTTAACAAACAAGAGAATTATACGAGGCTATAGAACTAAATAGTATTGTAAGAGTAACATGAATGAAGAGACTCACATCCTCTAATAATTGAGTAGGATTTTCAAGAAATTTTTAATATAAAATTTTCAGCTCACTCAATGCAGTGAGTCCACCTCTATTTATTGAGTAATGAAAATATCTTTACAAATATTGTTAAAAAAAAAAAAAAAAATTCCTAATCAACAAAAGAATGAAGAACACGTATGGTTGACTGACCACCATTCTTTGCATGATGTTGGAAAGTTTATTACAATGGTTGACTGACCACCATTCTCTTCATCAATCCTTACATTAACTTGTGAACTTGTTTTCTGTTAGCGGTTGCCAAAAATATATAAATTATGTCCTTATGATATAAAAATTATGTTCGGTTGAAATTCATAAAGCTTAATTTAGAAACCACCAGACCGGTTTTTTATTATTATTATTCTTATTAGAAATAAAACTATTAGAATTTGGCACACATATTAAAGTGTGCATAGATTGATAAATGTGTTTTGTGCACTTATGTGAACTGTATTACTAAGCTTTTATCTCTTCGAAATATTGACTTTTATTTAATTTGGGTTCATTTCCTTTTGTTTTCAATTATAGACCCTTTTTGGAGCAATTGGAGGGGGGAAATGATAAGTTGGCCATTGGATAGAAGTTTGGGGACTAACTCCACATGCTAGAAATTGAATGGCTTGAATTGAACTAAAGAAGGACATTGGGTGCACAATTAATTGGATTCAATGATTGAATTGCGCTATTTTGGATGATGTGAGGTCTTGAAGAGAAATTGATACTTAATTGGGTTTTGTAATTGGACTTGCAATAAGAGTCAATTGGACGAGGATTAGACAGAATTGCACAGACGGCCAGAAAAGACATGGATAGACACGGCCGAAACTTGGAAAAACACGAGGAGGAGACAGAAGACGCCGCATAATTGAAGAATTAATTTCAGATTTTTGTACAATAATACATCAATAATTATGCAAGTAATTTGTGAATTAATCACGCTTCTTCAATTTCTTAATGATGTTATTTAAACTTTATTTGTGTTAATTTCGACATTATGAGTAGTTACTTTATGTTAATGCTAGGATTAGGATAAATGTCGTAATGAACATTTTAACTCTTGATTTTATTTATTTTTTATATTAAAGCGCGTTTTTTATTATTAAATAATTGTTATGAACTGAATCATTAATTATCTATTATCTAAACATTGAATCTTGCTAGTTGCTACTGAATATGAACATGCACAAATCTACATCCAATTTAATCTTAATCAATCAATTGAACTGGTCTACCCATATTGAAAGAGATCAATTACAAACAAGAAAATGCACTCAACCTTATAGAATGCATCCACAAGCAAACAAATTAATTTCAATTCCTTTATGAACCAATAGAAATGCACCCCATTCTATATTAAAAAAAAGAAAAAAAAAGAAAAAAAGACAAAAAAAAAAAGAGAGATTGTCAGCCCACAGTGAGTATAAATACCGTTTCTTTAGCACGCTTGGCTCGGCGGCGGAGGGACCGGAAAAGAAAGACAGCGATGGCTCCGGTGAGGAGAACACTAGTGGCCGTTTGGAGACGAGTAGGGTCGTCGGAGGTGGAGAAAATAGGGGGAATTGACGGCGAGAGTTCGATGGGTCCCTCTTCCGGCGGTGCATCGACGGAGCTCTTGATTGCAATGGTGGCCTCTTCTGAAACTTGGGCAACCGATAATTTGTGGGCTGAGGAGATAGAGTACTGAGTGGAAGAGGCAGAGTTTCTGAAGGAGAATTGGCAAGAATGGGAAATGAGAAGTGGAGATAAAGAAGGGAAAAGGTAGTTTGAAGGGAGAAGCGTCAGATTGTTTTGAAATTGCAACATTTGTTGAAGATTTCGTTCACAGTGGAAGATTGATAGTGGTCTATGGCAGTTGATCGATTCTCTGTGAAGAATATCGATAAGACGATTTTTGTATGATAGAGCCGCTGGGCCCACAACAGGTACAATACCGTGGAAAACTTACATTTGAAGTCCCTAATCTAAGCATAGTAAAGCATTTAGCCCCAGAACTTTTAAAGATATTGTCTAAGCCTCCATTCTGCATTTAGGTCTTCAATAGATAACAACTATTTGTTTGACGAATAAAAAGTTAAATTTCAAGTTGAGAAGTTCATGTAAAGCCCATTTGGGTAGTGTTGACCTCGCAAATTGGACCCTCCACGTGATCAACCAACAGCTACTCCATGTATTCTTTCTTGCGCACAATCAACGCACGGTCAGATGCACACGGCCAGAACCAACGAGGGTGGTGGCAACCGCATACACTCCGACGGTCAAATTAGTTTCAGGTGGTCGGAATAATATCAAGGTTGTGCTAAATAAGGGGGAGGAGAATATATATTTGCTTGTTATGGAAAGCTATGTTGTAAGAGTTTCATTACCTTTGTCTCTTGTCATACCCTTGGTATCTATAGATGAGGAGAATCGTTGGATGTAGGACACGTGTATGCATCTGACGGTGTGAGGCGTTTGCTCATAGGCGTCAATCAACCGCGTCTGTAGAGTGGGCGAGTAATTACTTCTCCCGAGTTGAGTTGACGTAAAGTTGATACGTCACATCAACTAGGCTCATGGAGACGTCAAATCAATTGAATCTTGGGGACAGAAGGGATCTTGACATAGATCTCTTTCTGAAATTGGTGGCGGATCCTCTAGCAAAGAACTTCGGCATAAACTACGCTCCGGATTCATGGCGAGGGCGCCTCGATTAGTTCGGTAGATTGTTTGTGTCTCGCAGTTTGTTAGCAGATGGTGGCTCCAATTTGGAACCACTTCGGATGGCTGTTGAACATCTCGTACGATGCGGTTGTAGAATTTCCGAAGTGCTTCAGATGGGGGCGTAATAGTGGTCCCCCAAGTTCAGGTATGAATATTATATCATGGGTCGCCTTGTTTTTCCGATCGAGTATGTCCGCCTTGGGATGGGGACCGCGATCTGTGAGGGCTTATGGGTCGAATTCCTGTGTTCACCGAAGCGTTGATCACAAGAAGACGTGCTAAAGATTTATTACTGTGTAAGGGAAGAACTTATCCAAGGCGGATGTGCTGCCTACTGGACGATGAGTTAGGAGATGGATAGAGCTTTGTAAAGCAGCTTTCGAGACGATGACCCACAAGGGGGCTCCGCATCAGATGCGTCTAAACTTTGTAAAGCTCTGTGAAGAGCTCATCTACCACCGGTGCGTTGACCCACAGGGGACAATGCTTGGGAGATGGCTAAAGCTTTGTAAGGCTTGGGAAGGAACGCAGCTTCCGAGGCGATGACCCACAGGAGGTTTCGCATCAGATGCGTCTAAACTTTGTAAAGCTATGTGAAGAGCTCATCTGCCAACGGTGCATTGACCTACAGGGGGCGACGTATTGGGAGATGGCTAAAACTTTGTAAGACTTAGGATGGAATGCAGCTTCTGAGGTGATGACCCACAGGGGGCTCCACATCAGATGTGTCTAAGCTTTGTAAAATTTTGTGAAGAGCTCGATTTGAGGTGGGCATCTCTGACTTTAAATGATTAGACAGCTGTTGCGTATTTTCAAGGCGACAGTTGGGCGCGATGCCCATTCCCAGAAAAGGCTGCTGCAGCTACTTATTACAGACGGCTGATGGTGATCGAGGCAACGCGTTTCACAAGAGCGTGAAGGTTATAGCTAGATCTTAGGCGTATAATAAATCTGGCGTTTCATTTCAATGGCCTAGATTGATGATGCGACGAACGACCTAGATTGATTGCATTTGAATTCAATGGTGTAGATGAGCTGGGACGCTCTATAAAAGGCGGACTTGAGGGATTTTGGAGCTTTTCACTTTTATACAGCTGGATATCCCTTAGAAGTATCGAACTTATTTTTGGAAAAAGTGATTAACCAAACCCCAATTTCATTGAAAAGGAAATAAATATATATTTAAAAATAATGTCAGCTGGACTTATATACGATAGATCCATCAAATTAAACCAAGTTGTCAGGAAAATTTTGACACCTTAAATGACCTATTCTCATACACTCTCAAAATCTTTGTATTTTCCGACGATCTTCAAGCAATTTTTGGAGAAAAATCCCAATTTTCGATGACTCACGTTGTTTCTTAACCGTTTCCGGCTGTTGGACATTTCGTTTTTCAAAAGTTTCACTAAGTATTTGAAACTTTTCATTTCTGAAAATGGCTTCTGAGGGTAGTGGTAGTTTGGGTAGGGAATTGGAACTAGTGAGGGTGGATGAGCCCATTTGGGCAACCTTCTCTGAGATAGCCGAGGCGATTATTGGGAGGGAGAATATATGGAAGAGGCCAAATAGTCCGACTGACACATCTGTGCATTGGGGAGTGTCAGATTACCCCTCTAAGCTAAAGGGTGTCGACCTGGAAAGATTTAGGGCTCAGTATAGGATCCCAGAGCTCAGTATAGGATCCCAGATAGTGTAGATCTGATCCTACCAGAACCTGATGAGCGGGCCTGTTACCCTAGGCCGGGGTGGGTAACAATAAGCAAGGTGATCCTTAGGGCAGGCCTTAGGCTTCCAATCCACCCTTTCTTCCGTATGGTACTTAGGTCATACGGCTTAGCTCTTACCCAACTAAACCCGAACTCCTGGAGCCAAATGGTGGGCTCCTGGATGTTGTGGAAAGAGGCGTCGCTTGGTGTGGAGATGCCTTTCTCCATATTCCAGACCCTCTACATCCCTAAGGTAGCGGCTGGGGGGGATAAGACCAGGGGTTGGTACTACTTGACCTCATAGGGTTCCCACATTCCATTCGTGCTCGATCTGTCGAGCTCCATCAAGGAGTGGAAAGCTCATGGTGCTGGGCTGCCGGGAGATGGGACACGATGGAGGGGGACCCCCTGGCACCTCTTATGGTCCCCACAAAGTATTCGACGCTTAGTGAGTACTGCGGTTTTACGTTTCTTGTTTACTCTTCTTCGATTCAGTCCTTAATTGTTTTGTTTGTTTTTTGAAGGTTCTCTTCCTTGATGCAAGCTTTCTACCGACGACTTCGATATCATCTGTATTATTTATCAGCTACCTTCAAAGAAGATGTCATACCACCAGTTGATAAGGAAAAACGTCCACTTCGTAACGCACGATTTGATGGCCTCTCAAGGTAAATGTCTCGAAGCGAATTCCTTCAGTATTTTTCAAACTCTTTACACTTGTGCTAGTTTACCTGTCCCATTGCAGATAACTTTAGTAAGAAGCTTCCTCTGAGACCAAACTTCAAGACCATCCAAAGGATGATGACCGAGGCGAGAGCCTTGAAGACCTCCTCGTCTACATACAAAAAGCAGATAGAGGATCTGGTGGAGGCCAGCAAGAGGCTCCAGCCTCCCATCGAGGAGGAGGTGGAGGAGGACCCGGACGCCAATCTGCTGTGAAAAGGAAAGAAGCCCGTCGCCCCCTCAAAGCGCCCAATAGTGGTGAGGCCACCTCCAGCTTTGAGGCAAACGACAATTCTAATCGGGGTGGTTATCTCGGAGAAGAGGCCTACGTCTTTCGAACCTTCTCCAGCCCTGACCACATCGCCAGTTGCTACTGTGCCCATTGCTCAAGCGTCGGGACAGCAAAAGAGGAAAAGGTCCCATCCCTCCAAAGAGGTGGACTTCTTGGGCATCAATTTTGAGGCGCCAGTGAAGGAAGTTCTGTAGGCTCTTCCTCTAGAGATGGCTGCGGTGGCGGTGGTCCACAATAAATACTGGACCGAGGAATGGAGAGATCACACCGCCTCCTGCACTGTCGAGGACCTGGTTGCGGCCAACAGTGCTTGTGTGGCTCGAGCTTTAAGCGCCAGCATCCAACTCGAGGGCTTGGTAAAAAACCTCAATGCTAAGAGGAAGGACCTCGCTAAGCACCTTAAGGAGGCGATGCACTATGGTGACGAAGTGAGGGAGGCCCGGGCCAAGGCCGAGGAGGAAGGAAAAGGAAGGAAGGAGATTGAGGCACAGCTGGGGGTTGCGAAGGGAAAAATAGAGCGGCTGAAGAAGGAGTTCTATGAAGTGGAGTGTCAGGTGGCTGCTATGATACGAAGAGTTGATCATGCAAATGAGCACGACTGGCTAGCCACGAAGGCTCTGGAGGCTTCCAACAAAGAAAAGGAGGAGCTAAGGCCGAGGGCGGATGCCCAAGCTGAAGAAATCACCTCTTTGAAGGAGGAGCTCAAGTTGGCAATGGAGGTGGCTGTACAAAACTTTATCGACCACTTTAAAGAGTACCCCATGTACGACGACTTTGCCAACTTCTGGGCTTCTTGGAGCACCCAAGGAATATTGGGTCGGCTGAAAGAGGTCCATCTTACTCTGGACATATCTTCAATTGAGGTAGAGTTTGGTGGGCCTACCGGAGGTCGGCTTGATAGGCTCGCCGAGGACGCTCAGAGGCCCCTGGAGCAGAAGCTGCGGAGGTCGTGGTGGCAGATGCCCTAGTAGAGTAGGGTTGATCAATTTTTGTAATGGCTTCGGCCTCTTCTGTAATTCAATTCTCAAATGAATGAAGATGAAATTTTTTTGTACAAGTATTGTTGCTTCTGTTTTTTCATTGTGTTGAGTTCTTTAGACTTAAGTATATGAATGACAACCACTTAAGCGCCTATTACCAATAACCAATTAATAACAGAAGATCGGATCAATTAACATATTGAAGAACTGAGGTAACAATTTACTAACCAATGTGACAAACAACTGAAGTATCAATACTATAGAGGAATTACATCACCCTTCACTAAGGCATTTTCAGCACTTAATAAAATAGGGAAGTTACAAATGAGATCGGACCATGACACATGTGACCTGGACATCACTAAGATCGGATCGGAACACAAGCTCATTATTAATAGTACTTCCTCAAATGTTCGATGTTCCATTGATGAAGCCGTACTTTCCCTGCCATGTCTTCAATTTCAAAAGTGCCAGGTTGGGATTCCCTACGGATGCGGTAAGGACCCTCCCAGTTCGGTCCCAACAATCCAAACCCGATTGGCTTTGATGATTGAAAGACCCTTCTAAGGACAACGTCCCCCAGATGAAGAGTTCGATTTCTACCTTAGAGTTATAATAGCGGGTCATCTTTCTATGATACTTTGCCAAGTTCACCTGGGAGGTATCTATCCTTTCTTCAAGGAGGTGGAGTTCGTTCATTAGAGCCTCGTCGTTACTGATTTCATTGAAGTGTACTCGACGGTACGATGGGACTCCTACTTCAACTGGGCTCATGGCCTCGGCTTCGTAGGTCATGGAGAAGGGAGTCTCCCCGGTTGCAGTTCGGCTAGTTGTTCTGATGGCCCAGAGGATGTGGGGAAGCTCATCGACCCAAGCCCCTTTCGAGGTGTCAAGCTTCCTTTTCAGGGTATGCTTGATTGTTTTGTTTACTCCATCAACTTGCCCATTTGCTTGTGGGTGATGAGGCGTTGAGAA